TTAGCTGCAATGCTCTTACAGAGGATGCTCCTTGCTGTTGTGGCAGAATTAAAACTACACTCCCAAAACACTGACATCTTTCTCTGTTTTTAACAGAGTATACCTGAAATACCTCCTAAGCCTGGAGAACTGAGAACAGAACTGCTGGGTCTAAAAGCAAGATCAAGCAACGTTCAGACTTCACAACAGTGAACAGAACTTCCTTCCATTATCAAACTAGAACTGCTCAAAAACGTCAGCTGTTAAAACTGCAGAAATGTGTATGTGAAATACTGTACTGCTTTAATGCTTTTTTGACAAGGTGACAGGCAGACTTAAAAATATATGCACAGTGAATACTGTTGTATTGACTTCTTAAATCTTGATTGCAGTGTATCCTTCAGAATAAAGGGTTGAACCACGGCAGAGACCAACATTGACAGTCAGAGGGAAGTTGAAACTTCCAAGATGATTAACAAGCATAGGAAGTCTAGCATATGAAAAGCTTTTCTGACTGCTTCCCCCATTTTAAACTTTAACTTGGTACTATGGGATGTAACCCAGAATGTGGTGCCAATAAGTGATTCCTGACTTGCACTCAACTCCTAGTGTTGTCTGACTGCTGTGACTGCAGTGACACTGCCTTTCTGTCTCTGTCTCTGACAGCAGCTGGATTCAGTCCACTGAGATCTTACAGCTTGCTCATCTGAGTTAAAATGGGGCAAACCCACAGCGATTACACTGAAATCATCATACAATCAGAATTTTGGAGGTTGGAATGGACAGTAGAGATCACCCAGGCCCAACCCCCTACCCTGGGCAGGGACACCTCCCACCATACCAGTTTGCTCAAGGTTCCATCCAACCTGGCTTGGAACACTGCCAGGGTTGGAGCATCCACTACCTCCCTGGACAACCTGCACCAGTGTGTCTCACCACCCTCACAGGGAAAACTTCTGCTTAATACCCAATCTAAATTTCCCCTCTTTCAATTTGTACCCATTGCCCCTTTTCCTGTCACTGCAGTTCCTAACACAGAGTCCCTGTGCAGCTTCCCTGGAGCCCCTTCAGATCCTGGAAGGTGCTCTGAGGTCTCCACACAACCTTCTCTTCTCCAGGTTGAACAGCCCCAACACCCTCAGCCTGTCATGCTCCAGTCCTCTTAGCAACTTTATGTTATGGCCTCGACTTGCTCCAACAGTCCTTCTGACACTCAGGACACCAGAACTGTGTGCAGTATTCCAGGTGGGTCTCACCAGAGCAGAGTAGAGGGGGAGAATTGCCTCCTTTGACCTGCTGCCATACTCCTTGGGATGCAGCCCAGGATTGGGTTGGATTTCTGGGCTACATGTGATGCAGCCCAGAAAAAAACCAAACTTATGTTCATTTTTACTCCATTTGGGCATCTTCTTCTGTTTATGGCTGATTTGGATAGCTGTAAATATACAAAACTCTGAAATAATAAGTGCAGGTTTACCTTTCACTCCTGAAATAGGATCACCACAAAACTCACACCAGGATGAAGTCTACACCCTGCACGGATTGCACAACAACCCAGTTGTCAATGGTACACAATAGCTTGTGAAGGTTGGGGATTGCTTTCCCTAAATAAGGGTACCAATAGGCATAAATCATCCTCAGTTCTCACTCACATTTAACTCAGGGGTAAAAACCACAGTCTGACCAAATACATATTAAGGAAACAAAATAAAGGCCCCCTCATTCCTACTGACAAAAGTACTTGGAGGTCTTGGAATAGCAGAGGGATCCAGAAATGATCAAAGTGTTATTTTTGCATTTGTTCCAGCTATGAAACTTATTTTATGTCTAGCTGCATAAATAGGAGTGGCTTTCCTAGAAAGAAAGGTTTATCATTCTTTTGCACATGTACGTGCCTTTGCTCTCAGTTTTACAGCTGGTGATGGGATGAGATCCTCTCATGCTCTCGGCCACCTTCACCCATGACAGCAGGCATGGAGAGAAAGGCTCTAAGGACATCACAGATATGAAGCCCAAATGAAATCCATCAATGAGTATATCTTAGTAGGTCTAGTTCTGGTAAATATACTTTTTCCCTCACTGCACGTATAAGCAAGCTGAGATTGACAATCTTCCACCTCAGCAGAAGATGAAGTTTATTAAAAGGGACAAGCTGGGGCATTTCAGCAGGGTTTTGTTCCTGTTGAGGCAGGAACAGTAGTTTTTCAATGATCTCTTCACACAGCCAGGATTCATCAACCTTGTTACTTACTTAGTCAGAGAATAAGCTCTGATATGTTGTTGATTTCAGACATGAAAGATGCATTTCTCCCTGTTGCCTAATGGTTTTTCAGATGTAAAGGCTGCAGAGTGAAGGTTCAACTAATTAGGCATGGATTCGTAGGTGTATCCTGCTGTGTCTGGAAACTGAGCAGCAGGGAACTCAGCCTTTTGCAGCACTGAGGGAACTGTCCTCATTAGTGCCCATCTAGGAAGAGCAAAGCTGACAATACACCAGGTTCTAGTAACAAAGGTGACACCCCTAGAATCAGCAGAACTGCAGCACTGAAAGCAGGAGCCTGACTAGGAGACAATGCTGGAAGAAGTAACAGTGTTTTGCTTCAGAGCTTACAAGTGCATTTTGTGGTTATTAATAGCCAACACTTGTCACTCTGGGGTATAAAGAAAGCAGCTGAAGCACAGCTATGCTGCACCTGCTCAGCTGAAGCAGATGAAGTACAACTCACAAGTGTGCCCTTTATTACTTCTAAAACTGGATCATGTATGACATCCTCAAAGCCATCCAGGCACTGACAACATCAGTTCTGTAACAGCATAGAGGTTGCTTACATTTGCAAGTAATGAACAGATTTAGAATCCTGTAGCAAGCACCCCTACACTTCCATTATTCCCCTTTGGTTTGGGAGTGCTTCTGCAGCTAACAACCATGAAATAGGGATGAGCTACATTTGCCACTCAGGGGTCAAACACAGGTAGGGACAAGTGGGTAGTGATGACAAGTGCAGCACTGCAAGTCATACCTCAGGAAGCATAAAATCCTCAGCAGATGGTGGCTACAGAGCACAGAAGTTGCACTGCTGTAATAAAGAGGAACAATGCCTCAAGCATCTGCTCCACTCAGTAACTCCCTGCCACAGGGCTGCTATGAAAGGTGACTCTGCCAGGTCTGCCCATCACAAGGGTTAGGCACCTTGGCCTGTGCCAGTAACAAAAGGCTCTACTCAGGGATACTATTACAGTGAGAAGACACCAGAACAACCCCAAACTCCCTAAAAAAACCTCCCCCAAACTAACCTACCATTCCCTGAAGCCTCAAACAGCATTAAAGCCATCATCTCCATAAACCCTGATGCAATAACCACACTGATACATGGCATAGTCATTGCATGGAAATGGTAACTAGGAAAAGTAAATGGAAAAGAGTAAATTCAGGCCAGTGTTTAGTGCTCTCACCTAATTAGAAAGTGTATTTTCCTTCAGACTGCAGCCCCTTGTAACTTCACGTAAGTTCTGCTAACAAAACATTAGTGACTCTTAAGTAGAATCACTGTATAGAAATACCACTCCTATGTACTTCTTTCACAGTGGAAGGAAAAAAAAAAAAAAAAAAATCAACCCCTTCAGTGTAAACACTTCCTCCCAACCCTATGAAGATGTTTTGAAGTATAGACACTAGTGAGAAAAGGGTAGTGCTTCAGCCAAGCACTGCATAAACTTAACACAACTTCTACAAGTGGTGCCTCTAGTTCAATGCCTGCACTCCAATTTGGTGCTAACAAATTTAGCCTGAGTTAGACTAAGCATCTACAGTACTTTACCATACTAAAGAGACAGAACAAGAAAGAAAAAGTTTAGGACTAACAGCATTAAGGAGTAACCATGCGATAAGGGTGGAGGTTTAAAAAACAAAACCCAAACAAAAAAAAACAACCAACCAACCCTGCAGAAGAGAACTGCTGTTAGCCACACAAGGCAAAGTCAGGTTTGCAATTCCCATGGAGGGTGGGATCAGCTCTCAGGCACTAAAAGCCTTTTCTGGTGGTGGTTATCCATGTATTTAGCAAAGGGAATTTTCTTCTTTCATCTCAGCTGTGCCCATGCAGTGGAGTCAAATCTCAGAGCCCAGCACAAGCTGGCAGGGCTTCAGTTCCCATGCCATTTTTAGATGCCCTGTCTCATCTCTCTTAAGGTAGCAGTAGATGTCTAACATCTTGAATACTTACTGCAACTTGCAAGCTCAGCACAGCTCTCAGAAACCAGGTGTGCTTTGGCAAAGCAGCACACAACAGGTTTGATAACACCAAGCCCAAGCACAAGCAGATGCTGTACAACCAGGTGTGGCTGTGCCAGTCTGGAAAGGCACAAGGACAGCCCAATCTGAACACAAGATCCATATATCCCCTCGTGTCTTTGGGCTAGCCCCTAAGATGAGCTTGCTATGTATAGAGTGAGTGGTGTTTGGGAACATTTTATTTTGTACATGACAAGATTTTACACCAAGTCAGTTAAATAATACAAATTTACATTCATGAGGAATGTTTTTAGAAAAAGTGAACTTAAAAAAAACAACCTCCTTCACCCTTAAACCCCAAACCATCCCTCAACATTTTACAGTGGAAAAAACCAAAATCTAATTCACATTCCCCCTGAACCCCCCAATACAGGACAGTAGTTGAGTGCAGTTTACAGTTCATCTTTCACATCTGTGGATTCCTGTGAAGACAAAGAATCAGAATATTGATATTTGAAGTGGGAAAGGGTTACAAGAGCTGTCCCAGAGGAACAGAAACTTTACTTATAACTGCTGTGTGAACATAACAGGAATGATACCAAAATTAAGGAGCTCTAAGTACAATCAGCATTGTTCATCAAATTTCTTACCTAATCCAACACTTCACAGCAGAAAATTACATCTCTAAGCTACATATTTATACTAGTCATAAGTTGTCATCTTGCAGGTGTCTTCCAAAGCAACCCAAGTAAGCAGGTCCACTTGGGACCTCCTAACATTAAAATGGAACATTATCCAGGAACTATGGTACCAGAAGAGTTCACCATAATCATCAGGACATCGTTAGGACTGCAGACATGAGCCCCCTGAAGGATGCCTTTGCTCCTGAGCAGTTCAGCTCTCATGCCATGTGCTCTGCAGTGCTGCAAGTTTGTATTGTAACCATTTGAACCTACACTCTTGCCCATTTGTTGATGTTTTTACCCACAAGCTGCAGCTTTTAACACAGCCAAGTGTCACCTTCTGACAGTGTAGTTTGATAAGGAATCTGTGCTGTAGTTACCCCCCTCCCTTGAGAAAAGCCTGGAAAACCTTACACTAAAATCTATTGCAACAAAGGGCAACAAGTTTATTGCCAGGAAGCACCACAGACAAAATGGCACAAATATCAGCAAGCAAGTATCAAACTTGATAACTACCTTCTGTGTTTCACTGTCCTCAGCATCCACTTCCTCTTCATCTTGCTCTGCCTCCTCAGTTGTATCTTCAGGCTCTTCAGGTTCCTCCTCCACCTGTACAGGTCGCAAGAAAATTGTGCTTTATTTAGGATATTTACTACCTGTGGATTAGCTAAACACAGGCTATAAAGTGTTCACTATCAGTTACTAATGTTTTCCCCAAGCTACCTGAAGGAGAAAACAAGCTCTGTCCAGCACTGACCCACTGTCATGCCTTCTTCAGCAACATACCCAGCCTAAGCTCTTGCACAGCATTATGAAGCACCTATATTGCTTCGACCCACTTAGGAATTTCTCCATGAAAACATGGGCACACATGCCTTTGACCTCTCACTCACTCCCACAGAACCACCACTTAAAGGACAAGACAATACTTGAGAAGTGTAACGAAACAGAAACAAGCAAATAGAAAGAGGGAGGAAGCATGAAGTACAGACTCATGGCTGTACCACATCAGTGCAGGAAGCTGATACAGTTAAATGTTATGCAAGTGTATCAAGTAGCTGTGTTTAAGATGTAGCAACAGTGAGTCAATTATCAGCCCCAAGTTGAAGGCAAACTAACCTTTGCATCCAGGTCAATGTTTAAACTCAAACGGAGCATCCTTTCTATTCGGTCACCATATTCCTTTGTGTCTGGCAACATATATCCTGACCTCAAAGTTGCAGTTTCAAACAAGACAACTGCAAGATCTGAAACTGTTTTGTCATCTTCATTTTCCTAATGTGAAAAAACACAGGGGGAAAAAAAAAGCCCAGACCTGTTAACCAGGTTGCTGCATGCAGCCAAGTGGTCAATGTTTTACTGTTGTTATTTACTTACCTTGACTCGCCTCAGCATGTCCTTGATCAGAGGATGCCTGGGGTTAATTTCAAACGTCTTCTTTTGGCTGGCATAGTAACTGAGAAGAATCATAGAATCAACCAGGTTG